TAATTTATCTACCGTATATAACACAGCTACTATAACAAGTAAGGAATAATTATCCATTGTTATGTACGATTATAAAATAGTTTATCATCAAAATAACTTTGGAAACATATCCATGATAATTTCCCCTCCCCCAAATTTGACTCAAAGACTATGCTTTCTATCTCTCTTCTGTAGCAGTTACTTTATCTACTACAAAAATTATTCACTTCGTGATAAAAATATTTTTGTTATATTTTGACAATTTAAAAAAATATAGTATTATTAAGACAGTATTATGTAAATATTAATATTATATATTACATAATACATATTATGTAGTTTAAACGCAAACTTTATAGCTATTTTTCTAATGAAAAAAATATTTTATTTTATAATCCGATAGATGGTACGTATTATACCACACATTATGTATTTTAATTAGGCTAAGAAGATCAATTTTATTTTATGTATATATATATATACATATATATTGTTCATCAAACCAGTGCCTTAAATTGTAATTGTGTGTAACAGTTGAAAATACAATACAACAGCATATAAACAATGAATGTTAGAATACGCTTAATGATCGTTATACTTTTAATTATATTTTTGACTTACATAAAAAAAACCTGTGAAGGCTTGTATTGTAAGTCCGCAAGACTGAAACATTGAATCATAAAAATATTTAATTGATGATAAACAGTGGATGGCCAGTTAAATATTTTTTAAAGTTAAACAAATAGAAAAATTTTAAAAAAATAAATAAGACGGTTAAAAAATATGAATTTATCTTTTTCGAGTAACTTACCTTCGTGTGATTTGTTTTTATATTTTTAACAATAAGCTCTAAAGACTTTAAAACATTTAACAAATTTAAATTACATCAGCTAAACTGACGGGCGTTCAAATCGCTATTAAAAATATGACAATTTCACTGCGCAATAAACCTTCATAACTCATAAGTCATAACTACAATGGTATTATTATTACTTAATGAAGTCTTATATTAAAAGGCGTATTTATATTATGGTAAACAGAGTAGTAATGATTAAACTGATTCTTCATTGTCATCGATTCAAAGTTTAAATAAAGAAATAAGATATCTATAGTTACTCAATAATAATTAGATTAAATATATAATTTCGTTAGCCAGTTATTAATGGATATTGGCAATATTATAGTGTATTATATTTATTATAAATTATGCTGTAATCTAGTGATACCGTGAACAATGGTCAGATGATTTAAAAAATATTTTATCAAAATTAGATTTGCTTGGTTTTATAGAAAGCATTGTGCATCGTCAACTGTCAAGTATTAGCTATACAGTTCTCACAAAGGCATGAATCGGGTATTATTTCTGCTTAAAGGTCATAATTACGTGACGCTTTTGTTCAAGACATCTGCATTTCTTAACCTTATGGTTATAGTTTTATAGGTATAGTAATAACCAATAGGTGATAGGTACACCTAAAATAACTACAATACAATTATTATAAAATCATATAATGTTCCAGTTATATATATTTTTATCATAATATTCATCACATCGTTATATTGTAACCATTATTTATTTTTAAATTTTCATCGTGGATAATTTTTGTTTAACGGGAAAAAATTGTATATTTAAATGTCAACACTTAAATTAAGATTCACCTAAATTTATCTTTTAAGAAAAAAAAATACATACAATATATTACATTATATGTATAATATACATTATGTTAGAGAGTTTTAAATAATATTTAACGAATAATTCTCAATGTTACTTGATTTGTTCTGGTACAATTTACAGTACGAGGTAAACAGACAATTGTGAGATAATTAATTCTACTCGGATAACATAAAGCATTCACTTGACTACTTCCATTGAAACGATAGTCACACATTTTACAATAACCCAATATTTTGTTTCCAGTTTCCATAATTTAATTTTAAGCTTAAATATAGGTCAAACTTGGCTGTAATATTTAATAAGAAATATATTATTGTTTCTTTTATTTTCATTCAAAAAATATGAACTTTTATATTAAATAATTTTTAATTGCTTAAATACTATCATATTACAAGATACTGATTTCGTTATTTAAATTTATAAACGCCAACTAACCAATTTAAAATTTATAATTTGCATATTCAATTTTTGAATCTTATGAAGTGGTCCATCTTCAAGCCTTGAAAACTTGGAATAATTACAACATATTTTTGACCCAAAGAACAGATACTGTAATATAGATTGTTTCAATGCCATTTGAAAGCAGATTATAATATATATATATATATACACATGTGTGATTATGTTTATGTAAGCCGCTTGTTCCCATCCAAGATTTTATTAAACATTTTCTAGGTGTTTCAGAGAAATTTTCTCTTAATTATTTATGATTTTTTTTTTGATATTTTTATTTAATTATAACATTTTATATTGTTCATAATGATATTAATATATACTATAAACATTAGTTGATGATTAAAATAGTAATTAAAGTATAATAACTAATAAGTATATACTTGAAAATTTTAAATTTATAATATATATCATATTTAAATTGTTTTTTAGCCTGAGGTGTGGACCTCATTAGCCCGTACATAATTTAATTAAGTAAAATATTAATTTAAACTGGTAACTCATATTAATTTAATAGGTACGATTCCTTAACCAAATTATTTAATCTCTACTATGTTTCATAATATTAAATTGTTTACATAGATGCTACACTTCAATGTTATTTTGATTTACAGATAAAATCTAATTGTTATTAGTTTTTAAACTATTAATAACTAAACAATAAACAGATAACCTAATCTATTGTAATGGTCTAATTTCTAATAATGAGAGTTGTCTATAATATATTGTAGTACCTATATTACAACATATTTTTATTTTAGATTGATTAGTTAAATACTAAATGTATTAGAATTAAAATGATTTTACTTAAATATATGTAGTGTAAATACACGAATTATTATTATTATTATATAATTAAACGTCATGTTAAAATAAAATGGATAACAGCTGTGCAATTTAACAACAAATATTTTTTAACTAAGGGATAAGAATAAGATTTAAATTTTACTTTTCTGTTTAATAATACTAAAAGTAACCTCTAATTAAAATAATAAATAATTACGAAAATTACTTTTGTTGTTCGTATTTCAATAACAATATAATTTATATTATGTAAACACCCGCCTCATGTGATTATTATTATTATTTGTGTACACATTTTTCTGAAATGAATTTCTTTTATCAAATGAAGTAAGTTTATCCCCAGAGGCTTTTTATACAACTTTAAGGCTTAATCTATTCCTACCAAAAAAAAAGTTAAGGTCTAAGAACGCTACTGGTAACATAACATCTTCAGTTATTCGATCGCACTGTGTCCTTTTTTTATCTGTTGTCTGCAATTAGTCACTAATTTTATATCATAACATACTATTTCATGTTACAAATTTACAAATCTATATTATTTGATTATAATTAAATAATATGAAGAAAGATGAGAGTAAAAAAATAAGATGTTCAAAATAGATTAATGTAAACATTTTGAGTTTTATAATATAAAATGAAGGAAACATATATTATTTGACAACACGTAGTTTTTGTATGTAATGTTCTAAATTTCAGCGCCTAAATTAAAAAATTGTTTATGGAGATATATATTAATTATGGGTGGGTTTTATTGATTTATGTGTGATTATATGTGTGTTTCATATGAATCTAAGATAAATTTGAAATAATTTGTGTTAGTTAACATACAATATTTTTATAGTAAATGAACATACGTATGTAAATCAAATGGGCGAGGACGAATCGTTAATATAATTATACACTATACATAACCACTATGAAATATTATATTTTTTATGCTCATCTGAAGTTAACTCGACTTTGCTGATAGATAATTAGACATATTCGACATAATTCGAAAATAGTTGTTTGTTTAGGTATATTTTCAAAGCTATTGTGTCGTGGTAAAAATGCATTAAATTTCTTACACAAATTGTCGTGACGAGTGTTAACAAATAATAAAAAAAAAAAATCATAAATAACGTGTAACAAAAATCTTTTTCAAAATAACTTTCTGGCTGCGAATGTTTTTTTTTCTGTTGAACAATTATTGACTGAGTAAAAATAAAATATTTTTCGACGATCGACTGTCGTCGAACCGCGGTGCATTGAGACGATAACGATAAGGCCTACAGATTGTGCGTAAGTATACATACCCATGCAAGTGCAGTGCACTGCGAACGTAATTATGTAATACGCCGTTTATTTAATGATATTGAAGCAACTCAAACAACTTAAAGTTGAAGACTTCCAACACTGCTTCAAAAAGTGGCAGGAAAGATGGGACAAGTGTATAACATCGGGCGGTGAATACTTTGAAAGAGACTAATATTTGAAGTATTATTTGTACATTTAAATAATAAAAAAAAAAAAAATCCCGGTATTTTTTGATCACACCTCGTACATAGGATCGATGTTTATGATAAATAACTTTTGTGCGCACGTTGCGTTGTAAAGCTCAATCTTCACGCACGCAAATCGACGATTCAATACATTTCTCCATGTACATCACTTCACATGTGTCGAGAATATATTATAATATCGTTATTCGTCATCAGTATTGTTCGATGTCACACATAGATATACCGATCCATACCTACAACATTGTACATATATTTAACGATCCACAAACAGAGAAATCGTCGCATTAGCGTATTGTTTAAAGCGCACACAACATTAGGTATAGCCGTATAGGCATATAATTGCGTTATAATTATATCGCGGTTTAAGCCCTCTATACGTAGTATCGCGGCGAAAGCATTTCAAGGGGAACGTAAACGGTCGAGGGGGCGGGGAGGGGGCATGGACGGAATGCTCTGACGACTGGCGCCACTTACGGAGTGGTAGTATAAACTATAGCAAAATACCAATACGGTAGAAGTAATATACCACGCGGAGGACCTTGAAAACGCGGAGCGGCCGGCGTATGCTCGGGAGCGAACCCGATCGTTCGTCCGTCGGTTTGCGCACACCGATGTAGCTAACGAACCTCCGCGGTTTGGTGGCGCGCTCGCACTTATCGCTCGCGACGCTTTTGTCCGTTCTTGCCCATAACACTTCGACAGTGTCGTCTGTAAAGGCGTACTGGTTATCATATAAGGTACCCTATAACATAAATAATATACGAGTATTATAATATAATATATTGTTGTCCGCGGGTGACATGAATCCGACCGTTGCGCTTCGGCACGCGGCGGCAGTGCTGGCCGCGGTGGCGCTAATGTCGGCCCGCCCCAGTCACGGTATGGCGTACACGGTTTTTCAAGCAGTGGTCGAGTACTACCGGACGATAGCGCCGGAACCGGTGGACGCGGTGCCGGACGCGCCTTACATTGACCGGCAGTACGACTTCGTGGTGGTAGGCGCCGGTTCCGGTGGCTCGGTGGTGGCCAACCGGCTGACCGAGGTGGGCGGCTGGACGGTGCTGCTGATCGAAGCCGGTGGCGAGGAGAACGCCATGACGGACGTGCCGTTGTTGGTCAGCTACCTGATTGGCACAGGATTCGACTGGGACTACCGAACCGAACAGCAGGACGGCGTGTGCGGTGCGATGGAGGATCGCAAATGCCGGTGGCCGCGGGGGAAAGTGATGGGTGGCACCAGCGTCATCAACTACATGATGTACACGCGGGGCGTGCCAGAAGACTACGATCGTTGGGCCAGGCTGGGCAACGTTGGTTGGAGTTACGACGACGTGCTGCCGTATTTCAAGAAGTCGGAGGACCTGGGAGATGGCCGGGTGGCCGCGTCGCCGTTGGCAGCGCACATACACGGCCGCGGTGGGTACCTCAAGGTTCAGGAGCCATCGTGGAAGACGCCTCTTGGACCGGTGTTCCTGCGCGCCGGCCGTGAGCTAGGCTACGAGACTCCGATCGACTATAACGGGCCGCGGCCGCTTGGCTTTTCGTACGTGCTGGCCACGACAGACCACGGCACACGGTACAGCGCGTCCAAAGCGTTCCTGCGACCAATCCGGCACCGGCCCAACCTAACCGTGATCAAGCGAACGACAGTCACCAAGGTGCTCATCGATCCCGGCACGAAACGTGCGTACGGCGTACGGTTTGTCAGGAATCGTCGGACCTCCTCGGTGTACGCCCGCAAAGAGGTGATACTGTGCGCCGGGGCGTTAAACTCACCGCAGCTGCTCATGTTGTCGGGCGTGGGCCCGGCCGAACACCTGACCGAAATCGGCGTGCCCGTCGTCAGTAACCTCCGGGTGGGATACAACTTGCAGGATCACGTATCCATGGCCGGATTAGTATTCCTAGTCAACCAGTCGGTGACCATCGTCGAGAGCAGGTACCGGCACCCCAAGTACCTGGTCCAGTACACCTTGGACGGTGACGGTCCGCTGACCGTGCCCGGTGGTGCCGAGGCGGTTGCGTTCACCGCCACGCGGTACGCGACCAACGGGTCCGTGGTACCTGACATGGAACTGGTGTTCGGGCCCGGAGCTCTGACCGGTGACACGGGAGGCTCATTGCACCGTTTGTTCGGCATGCGCGAAGACTTCTACGAACGGGTGTACGGTGGATTCCGCGGCCGAGACGCTTGGGGCCTTGTGCCCATACTGCTACGACCCCGCAGCCGTGGCAGAGTCATGTTGCGATCGGCCAACCCGTTTCACGCGCCTTTGTTTTTCCCCGGATACCTGTCCAACACCCACGACCGCGCCGTGCTCGTCGAAGGCATAAAACAGGTATTCTTAAGGGTAGCTATACGTAGTATAGCTATTATGTTTTGATCTAAATATCATTAGGATTTATAATATAATCGATCACGTTAGGCAATTAAACCTTAAACTTTTATACATTTGATGTACGTATGACGTAGTGCGCAGTGGAACGCGAGGCATAATTATTAACAATTTAATCATTTATAGTTTACCGATTAATTGATTCTATACTAGTTTGATCATACGTTCCGTTTCTCTTTTTTGATCACCAAATCCCGTTGTCCCGAAAAACTACAAACGGGATGCGTTTTATTCGTTTTTAAAAAATAGTCCCGTTTCAATCCCGTTTTTTTCTTTAATATGACACTATTACTTAAAAAAAAAAAAAAAAATCAGTATGTGAAATCATTATAAAACAGTTTTATTTTTAAAATTTTAAACAAAAAATATGAATAACAAATAATGGTTTTCGTTAAACGAAGGTCGAGTGCCGATTAAAATTAGCAATAAGCATAAAACAATGAAACATGTTGTATAACATATCTATTACGGACTAAATTGTCTCATACTATTTATAATTTATGATACTAGATTTAATGGTTTAATCAAATATTTAAACGAAGGAAAATATCGTAACATCGAAAACTTAAAATTCATGAATAACAAAGATAGTGTAATATTGTTTTAATTATTGTTAAAAAGAATATAATTGTATTAATATGCAACAATGTATTATTTAAAAAAAAAACGTACTATAATTTTTAAATACAACATATCGATAGAGGATTTTTCTTCTTTTTTTGTAAGAGGCAGGGGTAACAACAATTTTTTATTTCCTTAAAATGTTCACTATATTGTTCAACACGCGCGATATATAGTAAAAATTTGTATCTTCTAATGTCGGAAAATTTAAATCAAAGTTTATCGTTTCTTTAGCTAAAATTTCGAAAATTATTAAATACATGTATGTATTTTTTTTAAATTGAATATGCTTATTTTCCACGTCAAATGTTTACTAATTAGTTATTACTTCTTAAAATAACATACTTAATACCACATTATTTATTTTAATCTTATATTTACAATATATTTACATATTATCTAAAAACTGTTTTCTTGAACAATCATAAATATTTACAACACTCGCTCGTATGTTTTATTATGTCGTTTCTGTCAAATTATTAATGTAATAAAATACTGGTTATTAAGTACTTACTATAACTAAAAAAACTAAAAATCAGCTTTTACTCCAGTAGGTCTACTATAAGTTTTTTAGTATAAGCGTAGAAGAAAAAAAAAGCGAAATACATTTAAGCTCAAACCTTATGCAGCACAATATTTCCACACACTTTTTTACCAGATATTATTACTCCATACTTCTACTACAGCAGATGTATTTAATATTGTGCATATTATCAAATAATAATAATAATATATTATAAATAATACAACTTGTTTATCCACGAAGGACATTGAAATCACTGAATAGTTTATCCACACAAATATACTACTAACATGTTTGCATAGATCAATAAAATACAATGTATAATACACGCGTATTATTATTATAACATACTTGCTTCTGTTAGCTATTGAAATTAGTAATTTATGGGCAGCTGACGACGATTTCGATAACCCAGAGGCAATGCCGCAGGATGACGCGTCTGCTACAGTTTTATCGTTATTTACGTACAATTATACACTTATAGACGATAGATATAAATAAATTATTATTATTATTATTATTATTATTATTATGATAGTGTGTACGACATGTCATCTGAGTTGTACACAAAATGGCGAAAGAATGAAAACCCGTTGACCAGACGACGAGCTTTACTTACGGTCAAGCGGTTTTTACTCGCCCATATCGTTATGAAATCTCTCATGATTGTTGCACACCCACATGGCTACCGGTCTAGTCGGCTAATATGCATTATACAGGATTATTCACTAAGTATGTTTACTTTTATTTATTCATTTATTTATAAATGAATTAAAATTAAATTTTTTTGAATTTTTAACTATTTAGTATACTTGAAATTATATTTTCAAATATTTACACTTTTATACCATTTAAGGAGTATTTTATGACAACATAAATTTAATTTTTTATCAAATTAAAATTATCTTTTTTTCTATAAATTTTCATACACAGATGATAATGTCGATGTTTTGAAATACTTCAAAATTTAAATCCGGCGAATTAGCATGTTTGGCGTCCTTATACGACAAGCAGATACACAACCGCGTCTTTTTGTCTGCGCAATTCACTTGTGAGATCAAACAGGAGATGGTCAAATACTAGTCTATACGCATGATATATTTATGTAATATTTATTGTGGTAATATGGAATATTATTATAAGTACTTAGTTGTTTCACAATCGTTTCTTCCGGCGATCACGATTGCAGTATTCGCAACGGCAACCAACACGCGATTCAAACGATCACGTCTATTGATGACTTCGATGTATTATTATGATTATAATAATCTTTTTCAATAATTCTAATAAACAGTATATAAGCACTGTCGTCATTAATGACTTCGATAATTTCAATAAATACAACAATTATCAATGTCAATCAGTTTTTTGTTTTTTAAAAACAACAACAATTGGTTTCTCGAAAACTATAGGGCTTTAGATTAAAGAATAATAAATATGTACACACAGACAACAAACTAAAATTATTTTATAATATTTTTATATTTATTGTTTAAATGATTGTTTCATTAGCATAATAATGTATAATTTTGATAATGAATATAATAGATTGATTAAAATTATTTTATTTGTTCTTCAAAGTTATTTACAAAAATTTAAATATTTCTTAATACATATCGAAATTCTTATGACTATATTTTTAATTATAATATTATAAGTTAATTATTAATTTTCCTTTTATTCGTCTTGTCAATTTTCTTTATAAATGTTTCAACCAAGTACTATTAACAACTAATGAGTTATCCATATGTGTATAGAATAGGTTCAAGTCATAATTAATTAATTAAGCTCATTCCTCAATAATTATGTTTGACGAAATTCTATATAACTAAATATTAACAACTCTTAAACTATTATTTTGTCATTTAACCAAACATTTTCACGTATGTATTAATACGTTACAAAACCAAATGTTTATACTTTAATAGATATCAATTAAACTGTTCATAAATAAAACTAAGAATTTATTTTGGAAATTGTTTTCACTTTTTGTTAAATTTTAATTATTATTTAAAATTAAATATTTCAATGTTCAGAAATAATAATGATAGCTTATAAAAAATTATTAAATATAAAATAAATTACTTTTTTCCCATTTTTATATTCATTACACTTTTAATTATTGTCCATAATATATTGTTATTAATTTAAAACATTTGGTTTAAATTATTATTAAATATAAATTACGTATAAACATATAAATACATCAATCAATTTTTTGATAACTTATACAGTTTGTGTTTCTGTAGATTTAAAATGTTATATTATATGAATTTAAAATAAACGCAGTGCATTCTAATCACATAACAAAAATTTTAGAAATATAAAACTAACAATCAACTGCTCAGAGAAAATGTGTAAAATCTCATAACTATCTTGTTCACAATATTATTTTATGTACATTTATAAAATATGCATTAATATATTATTATAAAAACTTTTAAATTCTTAAGTCAATAAATTATCACAAATTTATAATATTCATGATATAATAAATAATAATTATACGTGTTGAGTGGCTATTATAATAATTAACAAATAAATACTATTATTAGTTTAATTTATAGGTAGCATTTATAATAATTATTCGAAGATTGATTTGTAACTTATACTCGTATACCTAAATTTTTACAACGAATTAATATAAAATATTGGCCGTGTAACACTAAACAAAAAATACCTTGAAATTTTACTGTCACAATTGTAAATGTAATTTTAAATGATTATTGAATAAGCAATATAATATACTAACAGTAATTACGCTGTGAGTGAATTAATATAACTGATGTTCAACAATATTTTCTTAGTAGATATAACCTTCCAAGTTAGTTGCAACATAATGAAGAATAAATTCACACTTTTACTTCTTATTCATAAATATTAAATTTTTGAATTATCAATAAATTATAGGTACTATTTTATATTTACTCATACATATTTTTATATTTTCAGATTGCATTAAATAATTATTGAGATAAGGTACATTTTATTTTACTCGTTTAAATTTAATTTTCAAAAATATTATAATGCAGGAATATTATTTAAATTCATTATTCTTAAATTTATATAATATTAGTTCAAAATAAGTCAATAATTTTCAAAGCACATTTTCTTTAAAATATAATAATTGATATTTAAATTTTTTTATTAATAATTTTAGAGGTCAAACCAGATTTTAGCCCATGATAACACTGACTTAACTTTCTTTCAAATGATTAAACATTTTTAAAGTATTTTAGAAAATCTATGATTTAGTAAACTTATAATTAATCAAGAATAATTTTCAGATATAATGATGAAAGTAATTTATTACATCAATACACTATTTTTTATGTCAAGACGATATCTCAGTTAAAATACAATCGGTTGTATAAACACAATTTATTATGCGGCGTGACGTATAGGCAATAGAGGTACATAAGATGTTCAATCAAAATTAAATACCTACACAATAAAATAATTATATAACAATATTATCGCATTAAATTATCAATATTTGTAAATAAATCCACTTTTTATTCATTAGCTTTTACCATACAACCATAATTATATATTAACTTTGTTAAAATGTGTTTTTATACATTTTTATAATTTTTAGACTTTTATGCAGGGTTGGAATGTGCTTTAAGTGGTTTTGTTTAGAAACATTTATTTTTATATATTACGTTCAAAACGTTTAAAAAAACATAAAATTGTATCAAATTTTTTTCTATGAAAATACTTTTTTTTGTAGCTAATGGTATATATTATATACAACCATTTCTTAGATAATATAAGAATAATAATACTTTATAATATACCTTTATAGTTATTGCACTTGAAACAAAACTTTATTATGAGTTATTAAAAATTTGTTTTATTCATTATATAAAACATTAAAAAAAAGTTTTAAACAAAAAATAACGCTTTATACAAATAAAATGTTTGTTTTATATCACTAAAAAAATTATTTATTTTTCAATCCTAATTTATTCCACTGAGATTCTTAATGTGATTAATAGGTTATAATAATGTACAATAATAGTAAAAAATGTCATATCATTTTTTAAATTTTATAATTGTATATATTTTACACATCTTTCGGTAATCATATTGCAGGCCATCGCTGTGAGCAAAACTCAAGCATTCCAAAAATACGGATCCACCCTGTTGTCAGTGCCATTCCCGGGCTGCGAACACGAGCCGTTCGGGTCGGATGCGTACTGGGATTGTTGCATTGGGCAGTTGACCACCAACCTTCACCATCAGGTAGGCACGTGCAAGATGGGACCGGCCTCAGACCTGGATGCCGTGGTCGATCCAAAGTTGAGAGTGCGCGGTGTTAAAGGACTCAGGGTAGTGGATGCGTCCATCATGCCACTCATACCAGGCGGTCACACCAACGCAATAACATTCATGATCGGCGAGAAAGCGGCCGACATGATTAAGGAAAACTGGATCAAATGATTGAACCGATTGTGTTACACTGTGGATGTCATATCATATATGCTACGGTATGTTCCGACCATAATATTGTAATATGTTGTCATTTTTTCGAAAAATATCTAAATAATTATAATATTAAAAAAAAAAAAAATATTTTTCATCGATTGTTACACGTTACGGCATATACGCTGTTTTCTGTAGTTTTCACCATCATCATCTTACGTGAAATAATTTGTGTTTCAGGTATGAGTGATAAATTTGATGATTGAACAATCATTTATTTTTTTTTTTTTTAAAGTCTTACATCATACTACGTATGTTGTTATTGGACAATGTAAACGTTCTGTGGAACAGATTCATCATCGTCGATACCTCTATCAATATCCATATCAATACTAGTGCAAAATAATACATCGATTGCACCAATTTGATTCAATGAACACTATTGTTCAAGATTGTGTACGCTTTGAACTATACATGTAAATAAGAAGATTAAAATTATATTATCTAGTCAGAAAAAAAGAAATATGCAATTTTGCTTCTATGTTTTTATGTATATTACCTGCTACTACTTTACATTTAGTTATTTTTATTTGCTATCAGGAGTGTTATATAAAAATATTATTACTTATATTATAATCCTATAATATAATATATATCTTAGAATGAAATAATATTTTTATATATTTTACTAAACTTAAAATCGAAAATTTAAAAAAATACAATGTACATATTATCTTGGTTTTAAAAAAAAAAGTATCTAGTGTAAATAATATATAATTTAATTGTTTTTATAGCTGTTTTTCTTAATAATATTCCTTTTATTTTACTATATTAGTTGTCAGTTGCAAAATTATATGAACTTTTTTTATTTTATGAATAAATATACTTGGCAATACTTTGATATAGTATAGTTATTGTTGATTAATGTTAAGTACCAATTATACTAAGTAGTGTTTCCGTACAAATTTTTTTTTTTAATATAAACATTCAAATTAAACGTGTATTGAAGAAGCACCATAAACAAGCAAAACAATACATTACACGTAATGTTCAATTTAATTTTGACGAGATTAATTTTTTTTTTTTTTTATTATTAAGTTAAACATTTTTTTTTCTATTTATAAAATATAACATTTTTGATTTTTACTGATAAAAATGCTTGAAATTTTAATACGAGGTTCGCATTAATTGTTCATTCACATTACATTTATATTAAAATATTTTTTTTATTGGCATTTAAATTTAGAATTTTGAAAAAATTCATAAAAATTTAAAAATGTACAAATTGTTTTGTATTTAAATATTCATAGGACATTACCCTTGCTACCACAAATTAATTCATTCATTTTTCATTTTAAAAACATAACTCTTATCAATTTATGTTTAAATTACTCAGAGTACTCTATTTAAACGACATATGACAAGGACTCGTTATTATTGATGCTATGAAAAAGGTTTACTTAACATCAAAAGAAATTAAACCAAAATTTAAAGATTTTTTCATAAATATTTTTTTATTTTTTTTTTTTATAATTTTTAATTTCTACTTCGAAGTTTTCAGATAGTGGGATCGTTGCAAATCACTATTAAAAGCCTGGTTTTTTTAAACAACTCCAAGGTTAAAGGATCTTATAGTAACCAACAGTCAATTACGCAGATTAATTCTACCAGTTCTAATACAAAATAATATAAACATAAAATTATTTGATAAGGCACTAGAAGTATATCACTATAAGTTTATGTCACAGTGAGAAAGTTTAAAAATGATTTCACGTGATGTATTTAAACTGCAGTTATATACGTCATCGTTAAAAATGACACTTAACTCGGTACGTATGCAAAATAACAAGTACGTTAATTTGTTTACTCATAAGGTAGAAAAACTTGATTAAAATTTTCGTGTGATATTCACTAAGAGAAAAACTCCAGAACAGACTACTATACTTAATATCAAACGTTAGTCGTAATTTTTAAAGTATTAATGTATATTGACTTACAATTTATGGGATAACAGAAAAATTTATATCTAGAGATGGTAATGTAGTAGGCTAGTAATGAGGAGATAGAGATCTCATCCGATTACGATGTGTGACAATATTATTTTAATAGAAACAATTTTAACCCTTTTAAAAATGTTTGTCGATCTGATATGAATCATAATAACAGAAATAATTTTAAATTTAAACATAAATGCAAATATAAGAATTAAATGATATCTTGTAACTTTAAATAAGTTCTCTGTTCTAATATATAATAATTTCAATCGTTTACAATATCATGAACATATAAAAATATTTTAAAAATTCCGATTAGATATATATAATATATATATATAAATACATTATACCTTGAGATAAATAATTAATACTGTTAACAATATTCATTTATTTTATATAAACAAAACTATATATTTTATATAGCTATAAAATATGTAAATAAATTATTTTATTTTATTAATAATTATTAAATTTATGGAATTAATTATGAAATATTATTAATAAAAATTATTTTTATTATATTTAGTGATAAAATTATTCAAACTTACTAATCATGTTTAAAAATGTAAATATATTTATTCATTGTTGTTTATAATTTATAGATACAGAATTCATCATCTAAAATATTTGGATTAAAAAAACTTCTGATTTGTATCTTATTCTACGGCGTGAATTTTCATGCTTATATTTGTATATTTTATAACATTCATTAAAAATGTATTGACATTTAGCCACATCGTTACATTTTCAAAACATTTCCTTAATATTTAATACATATATATTATAATATTATATTTATAGTTAACAATATAAAAAGCAACTCTAATCTATAAATAATTCATTTAAGACAGATGATAAGTGGGATAGTTTTTCTGGACTCTAAATACTAAATATTAACAAGAAACAAATGTGAAATACAAAATAAAAATAATTATAATGCACAATTATATTATTACAATAACCATTTTACCACTTTAAATGTAATTAAAACTTGAAACTTAAAAAAATAAAATAATTTTATTAAATGCATACATTTTAGACATAAATTGGTTACACAGCTTATATTTGTGTAATATAATCTTTCCAGCATTTAAGTATTCATACACAAGCCGAACAAACTTGTTGACTAGTATCTTTAAAAGATCGAAACAAAATTTGAAAAATACCTAAAATTACAATAATTCGATTAACAATGTTAAACTTTACTAATTATTCATTGAAATTCATAGAAAGTATAGAAAATAAAACTTTTAATATTTAAAAAAAAAAACAGTAAGTTTCCATTTCCTCACATTCTAGACAAATATCAATGTTAATAAATAAAATAAAACAACATCAATGCTTACCACCAAAAAATTTGTTGTTCATATAGTTTACGTTAAATATTTTACTATCTACTGAACTTCCTGAAATTAAAATAATGCCAAAAGTTGTTAACTATGTTATCTTGTCTTATTTTGTGATGTTAAATTTAAATTCTTAAATTATATGAAACTAAAAATTAAATTTGAAATATAAATATAGAATAATATAGACATGATTGTTTTTTATAATAATAATAATATTTTATTATTATATTAATTTAATTTATTGTAAATAATAAATAAATAGTACTGATGTTTTACTTACCAAATATACTTGCGGCATCAGACCAAAAAGCAAGCATAATAACAAGAAGTACAACAAAAAATATTTTTTTTAACTCAAACATTATTGAAATTTTATATATCTATAAAAGTAAGAAGTTCCGTCATTATTCATTACAAATGATATAATAATATTAACAGTATTTATATACATTAAATATATTATTATTTATTAATTTTTGGATGTAATATTTTATGTAATAAAACATAAAACTAAAATTATTAATTTAAACTTTAGGTTTCGTGAATTATTTTTTTGTATTATAATAATATAATGAACATCGCTTAAATATGTCAGTTCGTCCAAATTTGAACGTTAATATGAATAAAAAAATAATTATTAATTATGTTTCAACATTTTTTACTTCATTGTGAACTTTTTATGAGGAATATTGTTTTACATTTTAAAATCTTAGCTGTAATAATTAATGATTCAATACATTAATACCTACAAAATACTTATAATTTGTAAACTTTCGTGGTTTTGACAAATTTTATAGAAATTTGAAATAAAAAATAAAGTATTGCGCCTATGTATTTTTAATATTTTTACATAAATAAAATAATAAGTTATGTGAAATATTGTTAGATATATTCAAGAATTTTTACCTAGCAAATAATTTTATATTGACATTTATAGAAACAAAAATTTTTTCATAGTCATAAATAGCTCAAAAAAAGTCAAAATAATTTGATTTAAAAATTATATCAAGTTTCTATGGTTATTCAATCTTAAATTATAACCAAGTAAAGAAATTAATTTTATCGAAAACAGGTTTAACGTAAAAAATATTGAAAATTTTTTACATTTTTGACCTTAAAAGTTAAAAATCATAGTATTTTTATTGCCCCGAAAATTGATGATAATAAAAAACAATAAATGTAAGATCAGTACATTTATTGCTCCACTCATAATCTAAAAAATAGTTTTCCCATTCCCAATAATAGTAAATATGAGATATACTATATTATTATCTAGTTCACTGAAGTGAAAAGATTACCAACATTTGTTGTCAGTATATTATTCAAATTTAAAATTAAATTTTACTACATATGTATGGTAGGTACTTATAAAGAATTTCAATATAAAACTAAGAAAATATAGTAAATTTTAAATTAAAATAACTTTATAGAAGAATAGTAAGTAATTGTTAATTTATTAGCTAATAACATTGCAATATATGTCAAAAAATAATGACTTATTCTCAAGTATTAACGACAGAAGAAAACTTGAAAAAAAATGTAATCAGGATTTATTAAAAATACTTAAAAGATGTAAAAATTATTTCGTTTCCAAAAGATTTTCTAACAACTACACTACACAGTTATTAATTGTAATTTTTTTTCTTCATGAGAAGAATATTTTGAGTTATTAGTTTCAATGGAGTATTAAATACCGCATTACACCGTTATCTAAACTTTCAATGCTAATACAGTTTTGAATTTTGGTTCAAAATTCCATACATTTATAGAACAACATTATGTTAACATTTTCAGAATATGAAATTAAAAATGGTGGTAACACATTTAATACTTGTCAAATATTTAAAAATTAATTATGACTATTTTTTAAATATTGCAATGGTGTAAATATTTAACTCTTAATTAATTTAAAAAATTGAGCATTTTTTTCAAAATCATACAAGTAACAAACATAATATAAGCAAAAAATTACTAATCTATAGTATTAATTTGATATATCATAATACAAAATATACTAATTATAGCATTTACCTGAAGTGCACTACAACAATTAAAAACTTTATATCAACTAATAAACTCTAATACATAAAAATATAGTTTTGAACTTAAACATCGTTCTATGTAACACGTATTATTGAATCAAAAAAAAAAAAAAAAATGTTTATTCTAAATATTCAATAAACGCACAGAACGTCTGTTGCTGTGCAAATA